TGAGCATATGGGCAGTTGTATTATTGGAAGTAACTGAATTGAATACATGTATAACAAAAATATTATCACACAGTTTTTTGGAAAATTCAAAACATTATTGTGATTAATATTAATGTCATGTTATTGAGCAACCTTTGTATAATTATATATTTTCAAAATAGAAAACAAAAACAAAAATACATGACAGCCATGAAATTTTAGACTCTCTCAACAAAATTTGCTTCTGATTCCAATAAATTTTTTTCAATTTTCTATCCTAATGGCCCATAATAATGTCAGTATAGAGAACCTTACAATACAACAATCTTCAATTCTGTCCGAACCATATTGCAAAACTTCAGAAGTTATAACAATTATGTTTTTCCGATTGACTGTTTCTGTTTTTCGTTCTTTTTGCAGGAACTCAAGTTCCAAATTACAAGAATCTTATTCTTGATGTTGACATCAATAATAAAAGTGATCGTGTGGAGTGGAGTCATATTCGTTACCATGGAAAATATCAAATTGATGGAGCTTTTGAAATTGAAGTTCAGTGGTTGGTTTCCACACCCTGTCTAATTATGGATATGGTAATTATTCTAGTAGCATTCTGCATTTTCACCGCAAGTTCCCTCATCACAAATTCACAAAATATTCCTATTTATAGTCTGCACTTTCCTTCAGAAGATTGGGACAAAAATAAGACAAATTTTTTGAGTAAAAACTGAAAATTGACTCAAACTTTGTCTGTTGGCGCCAAAATTAGGATTCATTTCTAGAAATATTGAAGAATTTGGTCATTAATGCTGTAGTCCAAATATGCTTTCCCTGATTTTATTGAAATGTTCTCTGACAATAAATGCTTGTTTTACTTTGTTTTTCTGTAGTTACAAGGTTGGGCACGCAAGGCTGGCGTTTGTGGTTTTCATCTTGTATCTGTCCCAATAGATCCATTTGGACTATACTCGCAGTACTCTGATCCGCTGCGTAGTCCACTATTCATAGACTTAGATATAAGGTGCTGCCTGGTGGGGGAATCTCGATTGTTTGCAACCTTTGACCCAGAAACCTACCATGAGAGGATACAGCTACTACAAGATGAGATTTTACGCAGGTGAGAGTCGACTCAAGTGGTGATCATGAAAATTATCAATATTTGACTGGCATCTTCAAATCTTAGCAATGAGAAATGCTTGGCATTGTTGAGTGTTGAACCAAAAAAATACAAACACAAGGCAGTGATTTTGCAAGGCCGAAAAGTGATGGAAACTGAATCCTGAACAAGTATATTTAAATGGTTAGCAATACACCTTTTCTTTAGATTGCACTCTCTAATGTCCGATGTTTCTCTTACCTATAAATGGTATGTACTTGCATACTGTATTCTAAATAACTGATGGTACAAATTTTGGGGAAGATTTATACTCACAGTGTGCGAGATACATATGCATTTGTATGCCTAAACTTGTCGTGTATGACAATATTCACAATGTATTCGTTTCAACAAACTTGAAGAATTAAAAAAAGATTTGTTTTATACTTCCAGATTTGGATTTCTACATGACCCCTGGTCTGGCTCATCTCACCCTGTTGCCATGGAGACACCTACGTTAAACAGTACGTACATACAACAGGGACTGCGTTTGCACTGATACCAGAAACAGACAGGCCAGAAACCAGTGTGGAATCAAAACTACATTCAGCAACCATGCAGGACTCACCGCTTAAACACACTCCGACCGTGAGAACACTCACCGCACACAAACATGGCAGAATTGGATTCTACTGGACGCAGAACTTTTTGTTGACCAAACGATGGCGATCTGCCTCAACTGGTGATGAGAAATTTGGTGAGAGACTCCTGAAAGATTTCACAAGTTTCTGTGCCAATGAAGATAACAGACTTCTGCGGTTCTGGGAATCTTGCCAGCAGGAGTTACAAGGATTCGAGTCCAGTAAATGAACATGTATTTACAATAAATTATAAAATACTATAAATATAAATTTCAAATGATGCAAACTGTATACAAGTGTCCAGCAAACTTTTTAATATCTCAGCAGATACATTTTTAACTGAGTCTGACTCGCCACCCATATGTAGATTTCAGCTTTGAACTGCTTTGAAACGCATTCGTTTCTTATCACTATACCATGCCATACCAAGTATGGTTGAAATATCCAGACTAAATGTAGGTATTCCCTTGTATTATAACTTGCTCACCGATGTGTAAAACTACATACACATAACCCCAGTTATCTCATTCAAATCTCATTGACCAATTGGGACTTGTGTTACAAATTTAACTGCATGTAATGAATGAACTTGTTTTTAGTAAGGTGCTCTTTGATTGATCATATATTTTCCACTGTGATTTCCAGGTATAGAGTATAGTTATACATAGAAAATGCAAACAGAACATTAACCTGTTAGATATGAAAGATATTTACTTCATATTGACAATGCATGCATTGCAAATATAGATATATGTAACCTGGACAGAATACCGGTACATGCCATCTCAACAGGTAATGAGAGTTTGTATAAAATATGATTACATTTACTGGGGAGTAGTGATGTATATTTCAATTAAGGAATGTCATGGTAATATTACTGGTAAAATATTTGTGCAACAAATCATGTATAGTAAAGTTTGAAATAAAGGACAACTTTATTGTATATACAGTGTGCATCATTCTGGAGCCACATCTCTAACATGCCGTGACAGATGAAGTACAAACTTTAACACATACACTGTTATGTCAATGACTTATTGTACATCTAAGAACACAGATTAGCCACCAGTAGAATTCACTGTTCTGCAATAAGCCATAATTGACACTGACATGCATGCAATAGTAATCTTTGTGGTTAGTATGTCCGTTTAGATATCTCAAAAACCAATTATCAGATTTTAATGAAACTTGGTATATAGATGCTCTGTGATAATATGCAGACCTGATTAGTTTTTAATTGAAATCTGTACATATTAGTCATTTTTAAGCCATTTCACTTTTTTTCAGATTTGTCTGAAACTTAATGCACAGATGGCCAGGGATAATCCATAGGCTGATTAGTTTTGGGTTGCAACTTTGAATGTCAATTACCTAATTTACATATTATTTAGCCAGTTTTTGACTTGTCAGGTGCTATAAATGGATAAATTTGACTAACATACCAAATGACCACATATGACATCCAACCATTCCTCTGCATTCTCCGCTCTTCATCTAATTCACACCTGACTTGGTCTCAAGAGATTGAAGGTTTGCTGACATTAGATGTACCAGCTTTCTTACCTTGTACAGACATGAGCAAGTGTCAGAATACGCCTTGGATTGTCCTCAAAACAAGAATGTTTGTCAGCTATTGTTCAATTGTGTGATGTTCTAATATGTCTACTCAAAATTGTTCAATCTGTGCGAGTTTCACTTCAAGGAGTTAATTCACTGTTTGCTAAAGCACCAAGATACATGCAAGTAAAAATCTTATAAACACACAACGAAGTGTAGTTTGTAATGTCACTGTTTCGTAACAGTGATTTATTCATATGGGACCTTTAATTTTTTCTTTTCTGTTCTCAATTTTGACTAGGATTTCAAGAAAACCTTGACTCGTGCAAGTGTGATCATTATAATTTCAGTATACAATCAGTACTATGATAACAAATTTCTTATCTGACCGTGAAATATTTTCTTTATCTCGCAACTGTAAGCTGATATAGTCAGAATGGCAGTTTAAAAAAAAAACAAGCAGCCTATCGGCTGAGATAGCTCCGCTGTTAGCAATGCACATTTCAATTAAAGAACTGAAGACATCATTAGAAAATGAACAATATGAATAGTATCAAAGCAATCGGACTTACAGTTTTTAACAAGAAGTGGATATCATCACGAAATGAACAAATCTGAGAGAGGTCCACATGTAGTACCTATATATGTAGTATCAAAGCAATTGGACTTGCGGTTTTTAACAAGAAGTCGAAAATATCACTTTTTACCAAAAATTACAAAAATATTCACCAAAATTAGAGAATTGAAGATATCATTACGAAATGAACAAATCTGAGAGAGGTCTACCCAAGGTACATATACACCAAGTATCAAAGCATTCAGGCTTGTAGTTTTCAAGAAAAAGTCGAAAAAGTAAAACATTGACACGGACGACGACGACGACGGACAATCACTCATATGATAAGCTCTGCTCGACAAAGTCGACAGCGGAGCTAAAAATATCAGAATTATAAAAACATTTGTGGACAATCCAACTTTAGGGATAGTCTGACGACTTGCGCCCTCCGTAGTGCGAGGGCGCTACTACGCCTACATGTCAGGCTACTTTCGGGTTAGATTGGGAATGCTAAAATGTCTTGTGATCAATCTTGGGTTAAACCAATCCCATACTGAGGGACACATTACATGTCTTGTGATCAATCTTGGGTTAAACCAATCCCATACTGAGGGACACATTACATGTTTTGTGATCAATCTTGGGTTAAACCAATCCCATACTGAGGGACACATTACATGTCTTGTGATCAATCTTGGGTTAAACCAATCCCATACTGAGGGACACATTACGGGTTAGACTGGGAATGCTAATGTCTTGTGATCAATCTTGGGTTAAACCAATCCCATACTGAGGGACACATTACGGGTTAGACTGGGAATGCTAATGTCTTGTGATCAATCTTGGGTTAAACCAATCCCATACTGAGGGACACATTACGGGTTAGATTGGGAATGCTAATGTCTTGTGATCAATCTTGGGTTAAACCAATCCCATACTGAGGGACACATTACGGGTTAGATTGGGAATGCTAATGTCTTGTGATCAATCTTGGGTTAAACCAATCCCATACTGAGGGACACATTACATGTCTTGTGATCAATCTTGGGTTAAACCAATCCCATACTGAGGGACACATTACATGTCTTGTGATCAATCTTGGGTTAAACCAATCCCATACTGAGGGACACATTACATGTCTTGTGATCAATCTTGGGTTAAACCAATCCCATACTGAGGGACACATTACGGTAAATATCAATATAAGATGCAAATAATTATTTTCATCCAATCATAATTTCTGTTTGTCAAATGACATGTATTTACTGATGCATGCGAGTCTCGCATTGACATTTAGCTAAGCTGTGCACCCTAGTAAAAATGGTTTGATCTAACCAGTTTGAGTAATACCACTAATCTTTGGATTCATACATAGCAAACCCATTCGCAACTAAGCTGGTAAAAATGCTGCTTGGTTTTTAAAAACAACATGCATGGTGGTGACAGTAATTGTGAAGAAAACTGAAATCAAATCTGTGAAAGTATTGGTGAATGGGTTGTGGTTCTTATACACAGGTTAGGACTGCTTAAAAGTGGTCACTATATGCAGGTGGGTCTTTATATAGAGG